TGCGGTGCGCGGGTTTCTCATTGCGGTGGCTTCTCTTGTTGCGGAGCACGGGCTCTAGGCGCGCGGGCTCAGTAGTTGTGGCACTCGGGCTTAGTTGCTCCGCAGCACGTGGGCTCTTCCCGGACCAGGGCTCAAACCCGTGTCCCCTGCACTGGCAGGTGGATTCTTAACCACTGCGCCACCAGGGAAGTCCCTCTTTGCTTATTCCAAAAGAACGAAAAATTAGGAATGGTCTAAAGAAGGAACTCACCCCTGTTTTTGGCAACCTAAAACACGGATCAAACCAGTCCTGCTTTAATTCCTGTTGAAGCTCTCTGTGACCTGGGACAAATCACGTGACTGTGGAAGCTTGAGTTTTGTTAAGTTGATATCTATCCTATGGTGCACTTAAAAGAAGAAATTGAGAATATATGTAAACCATGTCACTAAGTACTTGGCATAGAGTAGAAGCTCCATCCACGTTAGTTCCTAGTCATACTCTTCCTCCCTTTTTTTCCTCTGTTCAGTTGAAGCAAGTGGGGAACCTCTCCCCCAATACATATTCAGGCAGGAGGGCCTAACTTGCCCACAGGTCAGATCTCTATCTACTACTGTCTGCTTCACAATTCAGACATCATCACAACACAGACATGACCCTTTTGTCTTGCAAAGGCTTTTCTTTGTAGGCATTAAGTGTGGCTTCCAGCTGAGTCCCCATTGTTTATCCTGTGGTCCCTCTCTAAGTGTCCAGCTCATGGTAAAGACTTACAGCTTGGCAGTAAGGTTTGGGGGCCTCTTTTAGAGAAAAAAGGGGTGGAGGCAGGGGAAAGATGAATTCCTGAATCTTCAGGCTAGTGCTGGGCATGGCTTTCCAAAAGCTTAGAGCAACAGTTCCCAAAGCCCTCAGACACAGTGCCCGTTTTACTATCCAGGAATGATATTCATATGTAATATAAACTATAAACATAATTTCAAAAAGTAAATATAATACTCTAACCATATATTATAAAGGTGAAATAAAAGATTAATTTATAATAAAATTGTCTGTATTTTAATATGTAATGTTCAGGCATAACTACACTGGAAGCATAAAACATAGTAGAGACTTGAACCTACACGTAGAATCACTGTAAATACAACAGCAACAAATGCAAACTGATAGGGGCATACGTATCAGTGACTCAAATACCATAAGCAGTATTGTCATCGATGACGTGGATTTCTGAAACGGTAAGCAACTCATGATAAAGTTCTGAACAAAACACATTATAAGTTCCTTCAATCTACATGTTAGTTGCATTTCTGAAAATCCAGTGTTTAAAATGGTGCAAAAAGTACTTTGTGTTCGTATGTAAAATGAAGTTAGGTTCCAGGTACCCTCAGATTATAACAGGTTTTTCACATTAATACACAATGGTATTTTTAAAAGACATGAGGGATGTGGGACAATTTTATTTTGTGCAGCACTATTCTGGTCATTGCAGTATGGTTAGCATCTTTCACCCCTGAATGCTCAATACCAGGAAACCCTCCCTCATCCCCACCCCACCCCCTACATATCATGACAACCAAAAAGATACCCCCATGGACTTCCAAAACATCCCCTAGAGGGCAGTACATCCTCCTGTTGAGAACTGGCTTGGGGAATCAGTGAGACCTGGAGCCCTCCCAGGAGTTAGAGAAGAGTTTGGTTTCATTTCCTGATGCCCGCATCTCTTCACCTTTATACCCTAATGTGAGTCTGTTGACCCTTCTTCCTTTTCTGGGCATGCGTATCAGCCCTACCCGCCAAGTTCTGTGCCCCATTTCTCTAGCCATTTCACTTCAAACCACCTTTAATTCCAGAGGGCCTGCCCCTAGGTTCCTTGGAGCGCCAGGGGAGGCAGCTGGATGCGATCAAGCCACTGATAGAATTCTGGGAGGAGTCTAGCGGTACAATCAGGTAAAGCCAGAGCTGGTGGTCCCCTAGAAATATGGGGGACCACAGAGGGTCTAGGTCTTACTTGTGTGGGCCATGAGGGACCAAGTAGATATGCCGGGGCTCAGCTAAGGGAAGCTTGGCCCTCTCTGCCCTCTAAACTAGGCTGAACGACGTCCTCGACAACAAAGCTCTCCACTCTTCAGTCATCCAGTCCCTTATCAAGGTGGTACAAAGAGCACAGATGCTGGAGGCAGACTACCTGAGCTCTGATACTAACTCACCTATTCACTTGCTTTGGGAAGGTTATTTAATCTCTCTGTGTCTCAGTTTCTTCATATGTAAAATGGAAATAATATGTCGTAGGGTTGTAAGAATTAAATGAGTTTACATATGTAAAACTGCTTGGAACGTGGCCTGGCACACAGTACTTTACAAATCTAGATATTACCATTGTCATCACCATTCATGCGCTGCAGGTAGCATAAGCCTAGGGAGTTACCCCAACTTGGGAGATGAACATGATGAAATCTATGTCAACAGAACATTATGTACAGGTAATACTCAAGTGATCTAGGGGATATGACCCTCTTGCTTTATTCTTGAAGATCTAGGTGATTAGGGAATAAGAAAGGCCTATTAGTAGTAGCAGTAGTGTTATACCAAGGGGAGACTAGAATCCTGAGAGCAGGAGGGAGAGCGGTCAATGCCACCCTAACCCAATGGCTGGAGGAGGGAAGAAGTCAGGGAGGGAATGAAGAAGCCTCTGCTGAAGACTTGGGAACAGGCTGACTTTCTGAACATCCGTGGATTGTGAGTTTCTGCCTTTGCAGATCTGGACTCAGGGCTACCAGCCAAACAACCAGAACAGTAGGCACCAGTGATGTCCGTCTTAACAAACCACCGGACCCACAAAGCCTCAGTTTTCAGAGGCACAGACAGCAGAGGATTAAAAGTGGAAGACAGCAGCTCACTGGAGAGTGATTCCAGTGAGAACTTGTTCTCAGGGATGAGTACGGCCCCTGCTCAAAGAAGCTGCCAGGAGTCACTCCCACTGAAAACAACTCCAGAAATAAGGGAAACACAGCAAGGGTAGACAGAGAGAGGCAGAGGTGGACAGGAAGGGAAGCTCCCAAAAAGGACATTAGGACAGGGGTTAAGTGTAAGAGTAAAAGATGGAAGAGATCAAAGTGGAAAAAGATGGCTCTATATTGGGGCAAGTTCAAGGAGAGGTCAAGAGCCCTACCCAGCAATGACACCAAGTCCCTGAAAGTAGGTTGTCCAGGGAAGCAGGATCCTTGTCCTTTTAGCCGCCTGAATTTCTCCCAAGACTTTCACCTCCAAGTTTGGGCTTTGGGAACATATTTCAAAGTATCTCCCGCTCAGATCTCCAGACCTCTTTCACTTTTGACGAGACTCTACTCCCAGCTCTGCCACTCCTACACAGAGAAAAAAGTACCAAAAGAGTTATCAGTGATATAGATGTGACAACTGCATTTGCTTTCTTCCTCGACTGTTTCTAATGCGTGTGTCTTCTGCTAAACCACTTATTATGAGAGTATTCACCGATCCCTCAAAGACCTGTGGTTTTTGCTCCACAGAACAAAGCACTCGGGAATAATTTCTCAGTGATCAGTACTCAAGGATCGTGTCTCTGGCAGAGAGACAGAATTCTAGGGCCCCAAGGAGGAGTTACAGATAGGCCAGAGAGGAAAGGCTCAATCTGAGTGCCCTATGGTAGAAGTAAGTAGCCTGGGCAGAGAGAAACCAGCTTTCAGAACTTTTACTGAGAACTACTACTGGTCCAGCAAAAGATGCCTAAACCTTTCTTTCCAGTTCAAACTATCTTTCCCAAAGCAACAGACTACGTTTTTGCTACCATGCACTTTCTTTAAAATACACATGAGAACAGGAATAATAGCCTGGAGCTAGTAGTAGTGAAGGGGGAAAAAATCATGCTCCAGACCAGTGTGGCAAAAACCAAATCAGCAGGTATCCCCCAAGCAGCAGAGTCTATAGGAGACGGCTGGTGACAGAGAATGCCACTATTGCCCTAGCACCAGCCAACTCTCAGAAGCTCATATCACCAGGAATAGGAAGTACCTGTTTTACTTTAGTGTTAATAGGGGCAGACCAAGGTGCAGTACAGTTAATCCCCATCTTGTGTCCACGGAACCAGAACACAGGGAATCCTCCTGTTCTACCAGGACATACTGGACACACACCTAGTGTGGCAATGAGGTTATCCTTTTATTTGCCCCTGAGTCCAGGACTAAAAGCCACCATCATTACTATACTGCACTCAGAACAGATTTCAAATGTAAAATTTCCTTCTCGTCTCTGGCAACAGGAGAAGAGGGCCTTCCCATGAATTACTGTTTAATCCTCCTGATAGTCTATAGCCATGGCTTGTTAGGCATGGACGAAGTTTGTAATATAGGTTGCTTCCAGGGATATAGTTCCTTGCTTCCTATTCAGAGCTGCTGCATGGTTCCAGCTTCCGTATTCTTAAATCAGTACTAAGAAGTGAGGAGAATGGGGGAGAGAGAGCGTTCCTTGTTCGACCTTCAAGCATTTGGCTTCTGGTTTCAATGTATAGAAATCATTTCTCAGCAATGTAAGCCATCATTTTATTCATGGTTTAAAATCTTCAGCGTGACAGTGGTGCTCTCTATTGACCCAGAGTCATCTGCTTCTTCTCCTGTTTGATAAAACAGTGGGAGGGGAGGAGGGTCGTGGGAGGAAGACAAAGCAGGAGGGACAGCTAACACAGGTCATTTGGGGAGAGGGAGGAAGGGAAGATGGGGTTTGTTTTCAGAGGCAGATCCACCAAGCGTGTGCTCGCTGGAAGGGGAAAGGGAAGGAGATGAGCACCCTTGTAGGGGAGCATCGGGGGTGGAAATAGCAGCAGGTAGAGACAATGTGGGTGGTGAATCAAGGTGAGGACAAGGTCAGGGAAGGAAGGTAGGAGAGGGCTTCGGTCTGTGTTAGTTTCCTGAGCCATCATGTAATCCGCGCAGTTGCTCTACCACCCTCCCTGAGGCCAGCTCAGGCTTATATTCATATTCCTCCCAAGAAAAAACAGAAGTAGAGGTCAAAAGGCCCCACTTGAGGATTTTGTTTATTGTTTTCATAATTATTAAACATGCTAAAATCACATAGAGTGGCTGTTCCACTTCTGCTCTGACTCCACCATGGGGCAGGTGGGAACTACAAGGGTCACTTGGTTTTTGTGGCCTCTGGGGGTGGCTAGGCATGAGGGGTTAGAGGTAGGCAGGTTAACAAAGCCCCAGGAATCCTTCATATGGTACACCTTTACCAGCAGTAACTTGTGTCCTTAGAGATCTCCTCCTCCTTCACTTTTCTTTTCTTCCCAAATCAACTGGCGATTTCCTTCCCAAATCTTCCCATTTCCCTGCCTGCGGCCCCTTGAACCTCTTCCACTTCTGCCCCTTACGGTTCTAGACTAGACGATGAAGGAAACTTGCCCTTGTCTCTACCAGTCCCAGTCGGCCTTCCTTGGAACTAATCTACTCAGCATGCACTAACATGGGAGCAGTTTGATTTAGGTCTGCCCAGGAGAAAGGGAGGCTCCAGTCTCCACTGTGGCTTAGCTCATAGGAGGGAAGTTGAGGTTCTGATGAGAAGGATGTGAAGGTAAAAAATGCTACCTGAAGTGTGAATGCTGTAACCAGTGGAACATATGCCCCACCCTCGGGCACCCTACTCTGAAGGCTTTTCCCTCCCTCCCACATCGTCAGGGGTCCCTCTCTCAACCTCAAATCCTCTTGCTCTTCAGCCTCATAGAGCAGGCACAGGTACTGGTCAAGAAGCTGTATCCCAAGGAGAAAACGTTCCACCCTTAAGCAAGTGGCTGCCTGTTGAATTCTTCATCTTCCCTGTGTTCCTTGTGCCTCTGCGGCTGCGATGGCTTGAGAGGCCAGAGAAAATAATGTATAAGTGTTGAACTTGCCTCAACGAGAAGCTTGAGGGACAAGGAGACAAAGATACATGGGAGTCAGAGCTGTGGAGAAGGGGAGGGAAGGGAGCAAGGTGAAGGGTAAGGCTGGTTATTCAGGAACTGGAATCCTTTTTCTTTTTCTGGAATCGCCGGAACTTGCCCTGAATAGCAAGGGCAGCCTTCTCTGTTTCTGGTGCCGTCAGATCAATGTCAATCTCCTCCTCCTCCTCAGCCTTCTTGGCATTGCCAGCTCTCCCTGCAGATAGTTGAGAGATTCATTAATGAGTAAACCTGAATTGCCCCAGCCCCTTTCCCAGGCCCCAAATACAGTGGTTAAAGTCCACTTTCTACTGGACTCTGTGAGGTCCCCCAATCTTTGCTAGGACCCGGAATGCCTGATGACTCTCCCAGAAGCTTGAGTCAGGGTACCTAGGCTGAGAATTAGTTATAGTAGGTACTCAGAAGCTTTGCAACTCTTGAACCAAGATGACGAATGTCTTCTATCACCACTTATTCCTAAATCCTACAGTTCAGAGTCCCACAGCACACTCACTTTCCCCTGTTTTCCCTAAAGTTCTGATTGAGACAGGGGCTGGGATCATTTGATGAGTTTCTTCCTATCACTGTACCTGTTTCCAAGCATTCCAGAGCCAGTTTCTAAAATCAAAGCGTAAATTCTAGTAGGTTTACTTCTTAGGAAAAACTGGAAGGAAGTTTATAGATATAGTAGTCCTAACCTAGTGCTTTGTTTCACTTATCACATTCTTATTCCTGTTACATCTGACTTTAGGAGCTTCCAGGCTTCCAGCCCTACTTGTCTTCATGTCCCTATATTTACCTGCCCTACAAACTGCTTAGCCCACCCCCACTCACCCTTTTCCTCTGGGCCAGCTGCCTGGTTGGTTGCTGGGGATGTTTTGGTGTTAAGCTGGAAAAGAAAAATCAGAATATTAGATATTCACAGAAGTATTAAGGTGCCATCCCCGTAGACTCACCATCATCATTTTCAAGCCCTCCTACTACCAGGTCCATCCCTTAGTCTTTTTTTTTTTTTTTTTTTTTTTCCGGTATGCGGGCCTCTCACTGCTGTGGCCTCTCCTGTTGCGGAGCACAGGCTCCGGACGCACAGGCTCAGTGGCCGTGTGGCTCACGGGCCCAGCTGCTCCGCGGCATGTGGGATCTTCCCGGACCGGGGCACAAACCCGCGTCCCCTGCATCGGCAGGCGGACTCTCAACCACTGCGCCACCAGGGAAGCCCCATCCCTTAGTCTTTTGAAGAAGTGGGTCTTGAGATCAGAGAGAGGGAGAAGAGTCATCAAAATTTATTCAACAAGTATTGATTGGTGCTAGGGAAATTGTAGAGGACAAAACAGAAAAAACCCTGCCCTCATGGAGTTTACATTCTAGGATATAGATAGACAAATGAATAAAAAAATTATTATTATGTTAAGTGGTGATAAGTGCTATAGAGAAAAGACAGGGAAGGGAGGTAGTGACTGCCAGGTGGGAATGGAGAAATACAGTTTTATACAGAGTGGTCAGGAAAAGCCTCTCTGAAAGGTGGTACCTGAGCCAAGAGCTGAAGGAGATAAGGGAGTAAGGGCTGTAGGTGGTGGGCAAGAGCTCTCAAGGGCCCTGGGGTGGAAGTGTGACTAGCGTGTTTGAGCAATAGCATGAGTCCAACGTAGCTGGAGTGAACGACAGTTGGAGATGAGATCAGAGATAACTGGGAGTTGGGGCAGACTCCGTGGGACCTTGGGAGTCTTTTTAAGCCTTGGGAGTCTTTTTAAGGAGCTTGACTTTTATCGTAAGGGTGATGAGAAGCCATTAGAGACCTTCAATTGGCACATAAGGGGCATTAGGGAGGAAGCTGAAAAATCTGTTAGGCAATTATTGCAGAAAACTAGACAGGAGATAATGGTTGCTTGGATCAAAAAGGTGTCAGTGGAGGTGGTGAGAAGTGATCTGATTCTAGGTATACAATTGTCCCTCAGATTCCGCAGGAGATTGGTTCCAGGACCCACAAGGATACCAAAATCCACAGACGCTCAAATACCTTATATAAAATGGCATTTATTTGTATATTGGCAAGTATTTGCATATAACCTATGCACATACTCCCACATACTTAAAATCTCTAGATTACTTATAATGCCTAATACGATGTAAAGGCTATGTAAATAGTTGTCAATACAATGTAAATGCTATGCAAATAGTTGCTGGCTTGCAGCAAATTCAAGTTTTGCTTTTTGAAACTGTCTGAAATTTAAAAAATTATATACTTTCAATCTTTGGTTCGTTGAATCCACAGATGCAGAACCCTCAGACACAGAGGGCCAACTGTATTTTCAAGCTACGACTATTGGTTAAATGGCATAGTGACACAACTCAAGGATAGCTCCAAAGTTTTGGGGCTGAGGAAATGAAAAAAAAATGAATTGCCATTTCCTGAAATGAAGAAGACAGCAGGAGCAGCAGGTATTAGGGAAAGGATCAGAAGCTTGTTTTTGGACAAGTTTGAGATTGCCTACCTAGTTATCCAGGAGGAGTTTTTTTTTTTTTTTTTTTTTTTTTTTACATCTTTATTGGAGTATAATTGCTTTACGATGTTGTGTTAGTTTCTGCTGTATAACAAAGTGAACCAGCTCTACGTATACATATATCCCCATATCCCCTCCCTCTTGAGCCTCCTGCCCACCCTCCCTATCCCACCCCTTCTAGGAGGTCACAAAGCACTTGATCTCCTTGTGATATGCAGCTGCTTCCTACTAGCTATTTTACATTTGGTAGTGTATATATGTCAATGCTACTCTCTCATTTTGTCTCAGCCTCCCCACCCCGTACCCCCTGGCCCCCGGCCCCCCACCATCCTCAAGTCCACTGTCTACCAGGAGGAGATGTTGTTATAAGCTGTTGGATATTCAAGATGAGTTAAAGAGAAGACTCTTGCCTAGAGATATAAATTAGACAGTTATTAAGATGTGGTTGGCATTTAAGCCATGAGACTGGGTGAGATCACCAAGGGAGTGAGTTCAGATAAAGAGGAGAAAAGGGGCAAATCCTGGGGCATTCCGGTGATTAGAGGTTGTAGAAATGCGGAGAAATCAATAAGAGAAGTTGAGAAGAAGCCAGGAGAAAAGTCAAGAGATTATAGTACTTTAGAAGCCATATGAAGAAACTATTTCAAGGAGACAAGAGTGATTAATTGTGTCAAATTCTGCAGGTAAGGGACTTCCCTGGTGGTCCAGTGGTTAACAATCCGGCTTGCAATGCAGGGGATGCCCGTTTGATCCCTGGTCAGGGAACTAAGATCTCACACGCCATGGGGCAACTAAGCCCGCGCACCACAACCGCTGAGCCCGCGCGCCACAACTACTGAAGCCCGCACGCCCAGAGCCCATGCTCCGCAACAAGAGAAGCCACCGCAGTGAGAAGCCCGAGCACCACAACAAAGAGTAGCCCCCACTCACCGCAACTAGAGAAAGCCAGCCTGCAACAACGAAGACCCAACGCAGCCAAAAATTAAAAAAAAAAATAAAGTAAAACCAGTCAAGATATTGTCCCTATCTTCCAGGCTGAGTGAGGAGATAAGACAAGTATCCAAATAATACTTCCTGAGCATTTATTATGGCCAAACCGTATCCCATTTAATCCTCTGAAATCTCTGAGATGTCATCCTATTTTATAGTTGAGGAAACAGGCTTAGAGATGTTAAAGATCTTGCCCAAGGGCTTCCCTGGTGGCGCAGTGGTTGAGAGTCCGCCTGCCGATGCAGGGGACGCGGGTTCGTGCCCGGGTCTGGGAAGATCCCACATGCCGCGGAGCGGCTGGGCCCGTGAGCCATGGCCACTGAGCCTGCGCGTCCGGAGCCTGTGCTCTGCAACGGGAGAGGCCACAGCGGTGAGAGGCCCGCGTACCGCAAAAAAAAAAGATCTTGCCCAAGGTCAAGCCACACTACTAGAAAACAGTGGAACTGGCTCTGGGACCGAGGCAGACCAACTCCACACTCTTAGCCACTGTGCTATGTCCACAAGATCGAATACCGTCGCATGCTGACACAAATATGCTAATATATTCACAATTACTGAATCTAGCTGGAAAAGATATGGATGTGCATTGAACAACTCTTTCAACTCTGATAAATTTTTCTAACAGAAAGTTAGGGGGAAATAAGAAAATAATAATTTAAAGTAAAATAAAAATTATTAAGATAAAAAACGCTGGGGGCTTCCCTGGTGGTGCAGTGGTTGGGAATACGCCTGCCAATACAGGGGACACGGGTTCGATCCCTGGTCCAGGAAGATCCCACATGCCACGGAGCAACTAAGCCCGTGCGCCACAACTACTCAGCCTATGCTCTAGAGTCTGCGAGCCACAACTACTGAAGCCTGCACACCTTAGAGCCCGTGCTCCACAACAAGAGAAGCCACGGCAATGAGAAGCCTGTGCACCGCAATGAATATAGCCCCCGCTCACCACAACTAGAGAAAGCCCACGCGCAGCAACGAAGACCCAGTGCAGCCAAAAATAATTAAATTTACAAATAAAAGTTGATATGGTCCAATTTTTGTAAAATATATTGATTGCTTATGTATGTATATGTACATTTTTATTTAAAAATCTGAAAGAACTTGCACAAGGGTGTTCCCCAAACCCTATGGAATTCCTGCTAGTCCCCCTTTGACCAAAAAAAAAAAAAAAAGTTTCCATTAGAGGAAGGGTTGTTCCTGAGACTCTTGGGAGACTGGCCACTCATTATTCTTTCTTTTCCCATGATCTTCCTGTAGTCTATCTATATATATATATATATTTGGCACATGATCAATGTAGTGACCCAGTAGTTAGCTAGGTGACGCTTTCCACACTGGCACGCTGTCATCACAAGAGGTCTGTCCACACTGCAAAAGCATGAGATACATGGGGTGTTTAGTAATAGGATAATAGTCAATAGTCCTGACAAGAGGGTCACGGGTCAAGAGGCAAGTTCTATAGTCCTATGATCTCTGACTTCAAACCCTCCTTTTTTTATTGCCAGCAAATCCCTGAATCTGATCCTTGCTTTAACCATTATCCCTCTCTCTCTCTCTAAGCTTGTTCCCTTAATCCACCAATTCTTTTCTTTCATCCCTCCCCTTTGGAGGAAAATCTGGACCCCAGTTCTAAAAATCTTCCCTCGAGTAACTGCCCCTTCCTCTGCCTTCCTTCTCATATCAGCTAACCTTGAGAATCCTCGAAGCAGGAATATTTGCCAGGGCTGAACCACACCCGCCACCCCTTTCCCTCTGCCCTGCCAGCTGTCACCTTCCTGAGTCTCTCCTGAGATTACTGACCCTGGAATGGAGCCATGGCTCAGCTGCTGTCTAGCCACCCAGGGGTTCTCAGCTCCATTTGGCCGAACTTTATGAGAGGTCACTACGGAGACTAGAAAAGGATTCTGTAAAGGAGAAGAAAACCCCTATTACTAACAATGCCCCTTGAAATCTCTCTCACACCTTCTGCTAAAAAGTAATACGCTGGGGCTTCAACCTGCTCCTCCTCCCTGTACCCTCTCCAGCCAGTTCTCAAATAGCTACTCCGAACACTATGGATTTCTGGATTTAGTGGTTAGTGATTTGCTGAGGTGGGAGGTGGGGGCAGTTAGATCACAGGTTGTTAGCTCCCACCCTCTACGTCATACTCAGCCCTTTCCTGGTCCCTGGTCTCTGCCCCAAGCCTCCTGTGTATCTTCCAGAAACTCAGCAATTTTAGATGAATCAAGGTCCTCTGGTGCATCCATCTGACAGCCATCAGATTAACCATATTTCTGGTAAACCAAGGAGGCACGGAGGTCCTCTCTGGATGAACCAGAAACCACATGTGCTGTAAGAGTGTCTCTTACAAAAACTCGCAACTCCAGAGGATCAGTGCTCACCCACAGAGCTGTGACAG